CAGTCAACTGGATTCTCTGGGTACACAGTTCAGAATGTCCTATATATGAAGGCTGTCTCAGTTCAGTCTTCAACTGTTTCAATAAAGATCAAAATCAATTGGGGGGGGTAGTATTTCAGCTTACAACTCTCAGGTCACACTCCATCAGTGAGGGAAGTCAGGGCAGGAATGGATGCAGGGGCTGCTTATTGCCTTTACAGATTCTTTCTGAGTTTGCTCAAGTTTGTTTTCTTACACATCCTGTTTGACCCTAATTCTGGAGTCCTGATGGCCAATGGGAGAGCCCCACGACACAAACACCAAAACCAGGAAATGCAACAAGCAAGAGGTGTTTATTGAACGAGTGAACTCAGGTTCAGGTTCCTTTTTATAGAGACAAGCTGCAAATCAGCATACATGCATGGGGCACAAGGTGATTGATTACAAAGTATGATCTCATGTTTGAGAGATCACCCAGGTAGGTATGACCTGTTCTTTTTCAAGGGATAAACCATAGAATGACTTGGAAAGTCCCCAGACTATCCATTGGCCAGGAGTGACCCAGATAGGGCTGTTCATCTGGAATCATTTGTTTCAGGGTAACTAGCCCTATTTAACAAGATCAGTCTAGCATATAACCACTAGCCCCATCACCATAGTAACCTTTCTTGTTCTCATAATTCCTGTTTTTTCCTCCCATGTCCAAGTCCATTCTTTATGATTTTCTATATTCCGCTTGCAAGAATTATTCTCCTGCCCCTTTCCTACATCCTTGCTCTGCAAACTAAAATCTTTCAATCCCAGGACTACCTGCCCAGGGATGACATTGACCAGAATTGGCCAGGCCTTCCCACATCAGACTTGCCAGCCCTATAGAGGTATTTTCTTAAGATTTCTTCTTCCGGGGATGACCTTACCTTGTGTTGAGTTGACATAAAACTAGCCAGCACACTTAACTGTCAGGTTCTTGGGCTGTGGGGCTGTGCCATGATAAGGAGTGTGGAGTTGGGAAACATCAAGCAGTTTACCAGGTTCAGAGTTGATAGAAGTATGAAGCTCAAACACTAGGTTGTGTTTGTGGGAAGGGGGTCTCGAGTCATAACAAACACTTGGTGTGCTAAAGCTCATTTTCTCTGACAATGAATGGTTTCAGTGAAATGAAATGGAGGAAGTTGAAAATACATGTTTTTCTACATTAAAAAATTCAGGTTGTCAAGCTTTTTGGTTTTTCAAGACAGGGTTTCTCTGTATTGCTTTGGAGCCTGTCCTGGAACTCGATCTGTAGACCAAGCTGGCCTGCTAGCCTGGAACTCACAGAGATCCACCTGCCTCTGCCTCCGGAGTGCTGGGATTAAAGGCAATGCCCTGCTACAAGGGCATCTTAAAAGCCCCAAATATTTTGTGTATGCGTGCGTGCGTGCACAAGTCTGTGCACATGAGACCAGGGCAGGGTGTCAGATCATTTGGATCTGGGAATTACACACATTTGAACTCCAGGCCTCATGACTGCACAGCAAGCAGTCTTAACCACTGAACCATCTCTCCACCCCTTAGAAAAAGTTTGGTTTGGTTTTCTGTGACAGGATTTCTCTGTGTGTGGCCCTGACTGTCCTCAAACTCCCTCTGTAGACTAGTCTGGCCTTGAGCTCAGAAATCTGCCTGCCTCTTCCTCCCAAATGCTGGGAGTGTGTGCCATCACCACCCAGCTAGGATATTTAATTTTAAAATTGCTGTTCAAGTTGCTGAGTTGACTTTCATTCTAAAAATTGTTTAATGGCTTTTGGCTTGAGATTAGAACAAAATTTCTAACAATTTCTGAAGTGGCTCTAAACATGCTTCTGCCATTTTATATCACATATTTATGCAAAACAGCATTTTCAGCATTTACTGTTATAAAATTAAAATATGGATCCACTCTGAAAAACATTGACAACAGTCTATGTCCTGCAGTAGGAAGTATTCAGTCAAGATTTAAGCCAATTCTGGGTAACCATGATTATTTATTCTGTGCATGGGTACATGCCATGATGCACAGCCACCATGTGGGTCCTGAGGAGGAAAATTGATAGCCCAAGATTTTTTTTATGTAAATGAACATGCACATTCATTTCATTAGTATGTAAAATTTCATTGATATGTAAATTTGGAAATGTTAATGAAAAATAGTTATAACTCTTTGTTAGGTCGCTCCCTCCTGCATGATCCTGAAGGAAGGCCCCATTTCTATTTCTCAATCTCTCCTTAAACTCCACCCTCTCAGACAACCTCCAACAAAGGGAAGGCACCAAAAAGCCCAGTTTGGCACTCCTTGTAGTCAAGGCAGCTCCTCCCCTGAAATTGCCAGCCACCCAAGTGCCCTCCTAAAACAGTCAGCTTTTGATCATACTTGGGCATAAACCCAGCTTATGGCAGACTATATTCTATATAAGTTCCTTGTTTAGTTTGGACATGTGACTTCTCAGGCCTCAATCTCTGGGACTGGAGGGCTCACCCGGGAGTTGCTTTGCTCAAATAAACTTTTTCAATTTGGCTTACTGTATAGACAGAGAAACCTTTTATTGGGCTAGAGAAAACCTATTTCTCTTTATGATTTATTATCAGCAATGTGTGTGTATACACATACATATGTATATATGTGGGTCACACAAAAATTTCTCAGGTGAGAGAGGTCTCGAGTAGAAAGGATTTAAGCAGCCCTGTTCTTGAGCTCACTGGATATGGGAGCAAATGAACTGTCACAAGGACAGTGTCATTAACATCACAAAGGAGCATTGATGAAGACTGACTCTGCAAAATGACAGTGGATGTCTTCTCTTGAGGTGTGTGGGGGTGTTTGATAAAGATGACCAGAAATCAACTGAGGAAAATGAGCACAAAGACTAGAGAGATCATCTTCTTAGAGACATCCAGATGGAGGAGGTAAAAATCAAATCTCAAAAATCACTGAATACACAAAAAGAGAAGATAAAAACCTGTACCTAGGAGATAAGAAGTAAAAGGCAAATTAGGAGAACACTCAGGACCAAAAGAGTAGTTTGAGCAAGAAAAGCACTAAAAACTCACTATTAGCCTGAAGTGGTAGCACTGGCCTTTAATCTCAGCATTCTGGAGGCAGAGGCAGAGGCAGGCGGATCTCTGTGAGTTTGAGGCCAGTCTGGTCTACAGATTTCCAGAACAGCTTGAAAAACAAAAACAAACAAACAAACAAACAAACATTATCACAATGTTCGTGCCTGGAGGAGGTGGTTGTTTATTGTAGTTTAGGTTGCCCTCCAACTCCCTACATATCTGAAGCTGACCTCCCACTTTGAAACTCCCAAGGGCTAGGATCACAAACACTCACCCCACACATGGCTTGGGTTTTTCTGAACTAGGTTGGCCTTGAACTCCTAAATCTCTTGCCTCTACACCATGTGCTGAGATTACACCACCACACCCACTTTTGTAACTGATGAGTTTGATGTTTCTGCACTATGGTTTATCTGGGGAATGGATGCAACACAGCCTCCAGAATTCCTTCCTTAGAACACTACTTCCCAAGACATGTTGAAAAAAATGAGGAAAGGGAGCCTGGGTTGAGAATATTCATCTCAACAGCCTGAACTACTTGGCTTTTATATTCCCTACTCCATATCCATTACAGTATCCACTGGGTACCTCTCTGTGGCTGGGTGGTGGGGGTGCACTCGGTGGGAGGCAGAGGTAGGTGGATCTCTGTGAGCTCGAGACCAGCCTGATCTACAGAATGAGTTCCAGGACAAGCTCCAAAGCTACATAGAGAAAAACAAAACTAAACTGAACAAAAACAAAAAACACTGTGTACTGGCTAAAGATGTGTTGAGGATTAAACAAAACTAGACCTTGTACTGAAGTTTGTACGCTCTCCATGCCAGCTATTACTGTATTTTTGAGACAGGGTCTTGAGACAGGAGTTGCCTCCCACCTCCCCATTCCTTGAATTACAGGTATGTGCTGCCACTCATTGCTTGGTTCATTTTGCAGTTGGCTGTTGGTTTGGGACAGCGCCTCATGCAGCCCCACCTGGTCAGAACTCACTGTGTGTCTTAAGATGACCATGAACTTTCCTGAGTGTTGGAATTAGAGGCTTGTGCCTCACCCACACCTGCTCATGTGGTGCTGGACTGAACCAGGGCTTTCTGCCACAGCCACAGCTCCGTGGAAGACACCGTTATTTTGACTGGCCTGGATTTCACTAAACTGTCCACTGAGGACTCAACCTCATAGCAACCCTCCTCCTCTGCCTTCCAAGTCCTGGGATACAAACAGGAGCCACCATCAGGTTATTTTAATTCATTTCTAAGCCTCAAGCAAAACTTGTCTTTCTCTGAAGATGCACAATCAAAACACTTGGGTACCCTATGTCTCCTACCACACACTGAAGGTGTAACTAAGCATGGGGACATGGGGGCCAATGCCTATGCCAAAGTCTTTTTTTCTTTTTCTTTCGAAACAGGGTTTCTCTGTGTAGCCTTGACTCTCCTGGAACTCTCTTTGAAGACCAGGCTCCACTCGAACTCACAGATATCTGATTGCCTCTGCCTCCCGAGTGCTGGTATTAAAGGCGTTCGCCACCACTGCCCAACCACCTAAGCCAAGGTCTAATGTAATATTTTTGGTCAGGAAGTAAATAAGAGTTAAGCAGAAATGTAATGCTTTCTTTTTTAAATAAACCCCAAGCCTGGAGCTGGGCTAACACATGGCCGTTTTACAGATAGAATGAAAAAACGCATGGGCTAAGGAACCGTGCTAAGCTTACAGAAAAAGTGGAGACAAGGGGTTCAGCCGATTTCGTAGGCGCCCCTGTGTACGGCTCCACCTCCATGAACAAAGGAAGAGGCGGCACAATACTGCTCAGCACGCACAGGTCGCTGCAATAGCTCAGAAGCTACACTCGCCATTATCAGGGCAGCGAATAGCAGCTACTCTAGCTAAAATAGGGAGGTGCCTCCTGCACCGGGCTTCTGGAATCACCGTACCCGAAACCTTCTGGGTCCGGCGCACAGGAAGCTGGCTGCTCGCCCCATTCGCCCAGTGCAAGAGACCGCCCAGCGGAGTCGCTGCAGCGATGGGGACGGCCACGAGCGCGGACTACTTCCAGAGGGGCAGCCTGCTGTGGTTTACAGTCATCACCGTCTCTTTCAGCTATTACACGGTAATGCCCGCAAGGGCGGAAACGGGTCGCGCAGGCGCACTGGCTCGCCAGAGCTAAGCCAGGGGAACCGGCTCGCCAGGCTTTCCCGGCGTGGACTAGGGTGGGAAGCGGTTCTTGTTCCACAACTCAGTGCTCAGGGCTCTCGAGATGGTGGTGGCGAAGTCGGAGGCCCGTAGGGACGCCACTGTGTTCTTCCGTGTAGCCAAACCCTGGCCCTCGCTGGTCACAGCCCTGGGCATGGGCTACTTCACGGTGAGGCTTGCGGGCTGCTCTGGACCCCCAGCCCCGGGAGGGCTAAGTGCGTGCGCGTGGGTGGGGGGGGATGTACTTCTGCGCACGTACGCAGCAGTTGTCTAGGTTACTGTTGTACGCGGAAGTTCGGTGGGCTCTGGGGGATTTCTAGATGACAGTGTTCCGGTCCCGGCGTCCTCGGCCTCCAGGGTCATTGAGGTTTAACCGAGTTGTATCCTTTTGTAAAGGGAGGAGTGAAGTTAGTATATTTCCATAGACCTAACACTTTAGGATAAAACTCGAAGGAAAGTGAATAACTGAATTGCTTGGAAAATGAGACTCAACCTAATGCTTGGTTTAACTGGTAAGAAGGAGAAGACAGCTTCAAAGAAGAAGAGTAACTTTTGTCCATCTGAGAAAGATTTTGTTTAAAGGATAACGACAAAGATGCTGGGAAATACATTGTGCTTTATTTGTATAATTATGGAGAAATGCTATTTAAATATTGCAGGAGACCCTAGGATTGTCATGCCCTCAGTGTTGTTCGTGTCAAGTGTGATTACCCCTGTCCTAATTGCACCACATGCAGAGGCATGAATTGAAAAGTTTCAAGGATACATGTTTGTTCTAAGATCCCCAGTCTTTGGTGAGTTAGGATATAGAAGGGAGGACGCTTTTGCTAGTTCAGATATTGTGGAGAGGGCAGCTACAACCCTTTTAATTCCCCTGGTTTGGAAAGATGCAGTTACAATATAAATTTCATTTGAGCTTGTCTGTGAAGTAACACTAAGGAAGAGGTAGTGATGTTCTTGACAGAAATGTAGGGGACTATAAAATTTGCAAGTGCAAATGTTGACATGTAATAATTCTCAAGAAGTGTGTGTGTGTGTGTGTGTGTGTGTGTGTGGTTTTTGGTAAAAGAAGTTCAGGCTCCAGCTTTAACTTCTACAGCCTAGCCAAGGCATGCAAATTCTTTAAAGAAAAAAATAGCTAATAATCTCTATAAAACATTTTACTGACATCCACTAAGAATAACAGTCACTCTGGACATTGATAAGCATATTTCCTCTGGACAAATCTCACAATTAAGTTGTTACTTGGGAATAAAAGTTGGGACTGGAGGACTGGATGATTTGCTCAGTTTCTTTGGTCTGCAGTTGTTTTTTGTAGAATCATTGTTCCTCAGGCTGCTCTCAAACAGAACCATTTACTAGACCAATTCTGTGTCTCTGGTTTTCTTTCAGTGGGTTGTCTTCTGGCCTCAGAGTGTCCCTTATCAGAGCCTTGGCCCCCTGGGTCCCTTTACAAAGCACTTGGTGGCCCACCATCACACACTGCTAAGGAATGGGTAAGGAATGGGACATTATGGACACTGCAGCTCCAAGCTCTCTGGGTACCTGGAAGGCCTGCAGTTACCATTAGGTGTCTAATAGAACTGCTAGTTTGTATTGAGATGCCTTTCTTTTTAAAGTGTCTGTGTTCGAGTTAATTAGCAAATGACTATAACCATAAACTAAAAAAAAAAAAAAAATTTTTTTTTTTTTTTTCTGTTTCAGGTATTGGCTTGCTTGGCTGATTCATGTGGGAGAGTCCTTATATGCCATGGTGTTATGCAAGTAAGTCTTAGTCTTTGTAATAGGACCTTTGTAGTAAGAACATCGTGGTAGCTCTTGTTAGTCACAAGCTGCCATGCCTAAATAATTCATACTCTTAGCTGAGACATCAAGTGCAGCCTGAATCCCTATACCCAACACTGAACCTGCAACAGAAGTATTCAGTAAATGTTTGATGAATTAATGTAGTTTGCTTGTGTTGGCTAATTATTTAGTTGAGATACTTTTGCTGTGTTTCAAAAATTGTTTCTAACCGACTAGAACAAATGATTAGGAGTTTGTCTTCTAGTTTGCAAAAGAAACAAGTTATTGGTTTGGGCTGGTGGTTTTCTATCCAGTTTCAAAACAGAATCACATGAGGAGCTGTTTTGAAATATACAGGCCTGGTTTCCAGAGACTGTGGTCTGCTAGGCCTTGCTTCAGACACAGGTGTATGTTCCTTCTGAAAGCTCCTCAGATGACTCTGTGGTTTGATATAAATTAAAAGCCCCCAAACCAGATCCTCATACATTGCACCTCGGAATTCTAAATAGAACTAAAAATAGAATATATTAATCCCCTGGCACCAACATTAAAATTCTATTGTTTAAATTTGCTCTTTTTCAGGCATAAAGGAATCACAGATGGTCAGGCCAGGTTCCTCTGGTTCCTACAGACTTTCCTCTTTGGCATAGCTTCTCTTTCCATCCTGATTGCTTACAGACCAAAGCGCCAAAAACACAATTAAAGGAGATATCAAATTTCCTCTCCACTTCTTCAAGCCCTGCTTTCTGTGAGTCCTGGTTTCTGTGATGACCACTGTGTTCTAGACAGTGTCTGCTGTAGAAACCTGTCTAAGACCCTCTAGTTACACTTACTTGGGTGATGTGGCCAACCTTGGATAGACCAATTGTTGCTTAAGATAGAAATAAGGATCCTGCCCTCCCAGCTCTGCAGACTGCCCACTTGGAGAAGGCCTTGGGCCCCTTTCCTGAGGGCCTTGGCTAAGGCACTTTCCTTTTGTGTTGTTTGGTTGGCTAAGGCACAAAGTAGAATTATTTATTTATTTATTTATGTGGGTTCACCTTTACTCTCCTTCTGATTAAAACTCCCTCCCCACTGATATCTTAGCTTTCCACCTGATTCAGGACCAAGATAAAGTAAGATTTCCAAATAACAATGGTTGTACATCATTTATTAGGTACCATGAGGCAGGATCTTACCCATCCTCACATAGCCTCTACTTCCATTTCTCTAGCTACAGAGAAAGATAAAAAAACAAAGCAAGTACCCGAGGGACCTTCTGAGCTCAAGGTTAGAGCATTAAGGATGCCCTCCCTGATACTGAAAGCCAGAGGAGATGACCCTGCCCAGCTTGTGGCTGAGTATTTGGGGAACTAATGCCTCTGCTGGTTTGCTCCTTCCTTTCAAGCCACTTCTTTTCTTTCCTCTTGGTACTCGGGATCCAGCTCTATACCATCAGTCATAACCCTTCAGGGGTGCTGACAGAAGTTGCAAACCATCTCCCTGTGCTCCATGTGTGAAAACTGTGGAGCCCATTTAGTGTACTCAGCAGCAGAAGAGCCTAAGACTGCTCCCATCAGCAGCACCCCAGCTGTGTGAGTCCTCCCTGGGAAACCTGGTGACACTCACTAAGGGTTATCCAGGCAGCCACTTCTACCTCCATTCAATGTGTATACCTTGTAAGACCTGCAGAGTGTGTACCTTGTGCTCCCACTCAGGAAAAGCGACACCCTAAATCACTCACGAGAAATGGTCTTGATGCAAATAGCATGAGGAGTTTTTATTCCAAGTGCACTGGGGTCCACAGTCATACGCCACGCCACGCAAGGGTAGAGGACTAAGGACCTTGAGGACAGAATTGAGATAGCTTTTATAGGATTTACATCAAAGCTAACAAGGCCAGTTTCAAAGCTAGCCTGTTATTTTCACTAGGCCTAAAAGCAAAGTCATGGGATAGTTCAAAACTTGGAATGGTTAGTAAGGTTTCCTAGGTTACAGAGATTTAACACACCTGCAAGGTTAGGGGGGTTTTCTTTCTCTAGGATCAGTGGGCTCAGTAACCTTGTCCTTGAGTGGCTGGGAGAATGTACTTTCCAGTCATATCTATTGGCAGAGGCTCTTGTTTTCTCTGTCTTTCCCTTTTTGCTATGAGTTCCATCTTTTAGTTATTAATTTTCTTTGTGGACAGGATGACCCACAACAGTTCCCAGACTGTTGTTGTGGATAACAACATTCTTCAGAAACTAGGTGATTATGAATAATAATAATAATAATAATATCCAGAAACCAGTCATTGTGATCAAGCTATTTCATGTGTTGTTCTTTTTTCCTGAGCTTTGCATGCAGCTAGGATGATTTTTAAATACATGCTGATGGACTTTTTCTAAATTTCTAACTTTTAGTGGTCATTAGAGAGTTAAGCTGTATTTTCATCCTTTCAACCTGATTAATGCTAACCAGTTGGGAGAGCACACTAACTCTTCTGCTCCCTAACCATGGCCGGATGACCCTGTTAACTTAGGAGTTTCTTACAGCTCTTTCCATGGAGGACCAACTGTTCTCAGAGCAATTCCTCATTTCCCTTCAGTGACATGGTGAGGCCACTTGTATGTGTTGGCAAGCATTTATGAGAAACACCTCACCCCAGGAAAGCTCCAGAGTCACCCCAAAATATTGTGGACTCTGAAGCTGTTGGTAGAGAAGATGAACTTTTGTAAATGTATATCATCTCTTACCTCATGTTTTGTGATTCGAGGGTTGTGTTTAGGTAAAATATATTTGTAGCCAAGTTGGTTTTGGTTGCACACTGTTGTCAACACTTCATTTTGCTTCCTCTTCCTGAAGAGAAAATTTGTTCCAGAACTGGGAATTAATTTGAAATTCTAAAGTTTTGCATCCATGTCTGGGCCTTCACCAAGAAAGGAATCCACTCTCTGCAGAGCAGGGCTTGGTCTGTCCATGGGCAACTACATCCCAGCATCAGGAGGGCAGGATCCAATCTGGAGGATGAAGTCTACACAAAGCCTTTTCCCTTCTACCCCTGGTTGGGGTTGGGGGGGATTTAATAGAGTCTTTCTCTGTAACTATGGTTAGTCTGGTACTCACTATGTAGCACAAGCTGGGTTTGAACTCACAACTGTCTTCCTGCCTCATCCTTCACAGTGCCAAGCCTACTGGCATGCATCACCACATCCAGCTATACAACCCAAAGGAACATTATCCCCAGCTTGTCCCTGAAGTAGCTAAGGGACATCCTACCAAGGTGGCTGGCTAGCTCAGGCAGTTGGCTCAGTTCTCCATGATGAACCCTAAAGAAATGGTGCCTTTAATTAAAGGTAGTCCCGCACCTCAAATCTCAGCACTTGAACTTGGGGTCTCTGTGAGTGAATTCCAGGACAGCCAGAACTATGGAGTAGACTGTGTCTCAAAAAACAAACAAACGAACAAAAAGAAACAGTAAGCGCAAGAAAAATGCATGGGTTCCTAAAACAAAGGCAGTAATTCGAATTCCTCGTTAGCTCCGTACACTGAAGACTTCTAGAACTGGGAGCAGAATGCTAGTAATTAATGTAGACTGATTCATGGCAAACCCAAGCAGAGAAATTTATAAAATACTTTCCAGTCTCATTCCTTCCAGGTGTGATGGTTGTCAGGGTGGCCCTTTTAACACAGTAGCAGTAGCATCTAATATTGTGCCTGTCAGAATCATGTAGTGGACAGAAATGAGAAAAGGTTTTGAGGAGGTGTGGTTATTTGTTTTGTTTGCTCTCTTGACAGAGTCTGTATAGCCCTGTCAAGGAATTCCATGTGTAGACTGGTCTGACCTTGAATTCACAGAGATCCTCATGTCTGCCTCTCTGGTGCTGGGATTAAAGGTGCACAGCCAGGTTCTTCACAACTTCTGAATTGATAGAGACCTGTAATTCTAAAGCAGTGCCACAGGGTTCTTCTGCTTGTGTCTGTTGCCACCAACTAGAGAAACCTGGTTTCAGCATCACTACACTGACTCACTCCATACAATTTTGGAAGTGCATTATGTTCAGCCCTTGTTACTACAAACAGCAGCTGCCTTTGCAGCATCTATGCTTATATCTGAGCTCTGTTTGTTTCTTCTGAATATACTATTGGTATAATTGCCTTTTAGGCTTTTTCTTCCTTGGTCTTATTTTCTCTGTGGTGCATTCTTGATATACAAAATGCTGATAAAGTCCGAAAGGCAGGCAAGGCGGTGGTGGCACATGCCTTTGATCCAGCACTTGGGAGGCAGAGGCAGGCAGATCTCTGAGTTCCAGGTCAGCCTTGTCTACAAGAGCTAGTTCCAGGACAGCTTCCAAAGCTACAGAGAAACCCTGTCGAGAGAGAGAGAGAGAGAGAGAGAGAGAGAGAGAGAGAGAGAGAGAGAGGGAGCAAAAAAAAAAAAAAAAAAAAAAAGTCCCAAAAAGCAGAGCTACACCAGAAAGTATACTTGGAGAAGTCCAGCTTCCCTCCCTAATCCTCTTAGCTCATTCCCACCCACCCCCTATAGTTAAGAAGGAAGTTAAATATGCAAAACAGACAGCCCCTAATGAGATGTAAGAGACAAAAAGGAATGTCATCTTTCATGGACAAAAATGGACAGAAGCTCTGTAATAAAATACTCCATGTGGTGTTGTGGGTGCCCATCCCTAGAATAAAGACTCCCATACAATGTTTTCAATAGAAACAACTGGTCAAAGTACTGAGAATAAATGGCAGTGGAATACCTGGCCTTGAACAGGATATGTATATGACCCTCTCCAAGGCTCAAGGAAAATTAAGGAAAAGGGGGCAGAATGGAAGGCCATGGATGTGAGGGTCATCTGGTTTTGACATCTGCCCATTGGTTATATTCAGCTGATCTGTCTGGTTAGGAGTGTCACCTTCCTTGTAGCTCTCATGTGTAGCTCTCTAAGCTGTACTCTTAACAGAAGGATACCTTTCTGGAATAAAGGAAGATCAGTGTGGTAGTTTGAATGAAAATGGCTCCCATAGGCTTCTAAATTTGGGTGCTTGGTTCCTAGTTGGCGGAACTATTTGGGAAGGATTGGGAAGTATGGCCTTGTTGGAGGAGGTGTGCTGCTGTTTTGAAATTTAAAAAGCCCATGCCTGTCAGGCCCATAGAGATGACCCTGCTTCATCCTGATTTAAGGTCAGAGTTCAAAACTATCCTTTCAAGGTTAAAGTCATAAGACCTAAAGATCTAAGGTGTGGCTATTGAAGGATGCTTGGTCTAAGGTATGGCTGTCTTACCGAGATTACAAGAGATTTCTTCTAAGTTATGGTTACTCTTAATCCTCGAGGTCAGATAACAAGAAATTTGGTCTAAGGTGTGGTTACTAAATGTTTGGACAATTAAGGAAGAAAGGCTGATTGTTCCTTGTATCATGGTAAGGAAGACTTATCTTTTTCCCCTTTTTGGTTGGAGTATATAAGAATTTTGAGAAATAAACTTGGGGAGGTTCAGTATTCACTAGAGTGCCCTCCTTGCTCTATTCTGTGTCTGTCTTTTCCTTAGTACCTTTACTTTTTCTACCTTCTGTTTCTCAATCCACATCCCCCTCTCAGGTGGGTACCCAGCAAGATGGCTAGATCTGACTGAAGCCCCCCAAAGATGGGTTTCTACACATTCCATTATCAATTATCGTGTTCTCTCTGCCTATGGTTGTCTTAACATGTAAGCTCTCAGCTACTGGTATTCCCTGCCTCATGATTTTGGACTTCGACCTTCTGGAACAGTAA